TCATATGCAAAATTTGTTTGGTAAAAAGTTTGTTCAAAAGTGTGTTGAGATATTAAAGTAAATATCTTAATAATATATTTTAGTTTTTGTGTGGTCCCACAATAAATTTTGCTGTATGTTTGGTACATAAATAAAATTGCATCGAAGAAAAAAAAATTAGAGGCTGTTTGACAGTTGTTGAATGATTTGATATAAAATGATTAAATGGTCATATCTGAATGAAACTACTAAAATATAAGAAAGAGAAGTTTAAATTAGTAGATTCCCCTCAAATGATTTTTTTTTCATATATAATAGTCGTAAATAATTAAATATTTAGATAATTTTAATTATATACAATTATAAATTATTTTATATTATATTATATTTATAAGCATTCAAACATAAGTTTCATAGTATATTTATTAGAATTCATACATAATATCTATTTATTATATAATTTTTTTAATCAATGTATGGTATTTTTATTATGTCATATGATAAATAATTAGACGTAATTTATTTTATTTTATTTGTATATGTAGATTAAAAATTATATAAAAATCTCTTATAAGTTAGAAACTCTATGAACCTATTTAAATAAAACTAGAAGGTACTCGTGCAATAAATCGAGACACATTTCGATTTTAATGTTTCGTTTTATTTTTTATCTATGTCGATATAATATGATTTTATATGGTTTTGAGAAAACGATAATGCTTTTATTTTTGAATAAAATATAAATTTAAAAATATCATATAAAATTTGCAAAAAATATATCAATATTAGTATCAAATTAACTATTTAAAAGTTCTTGTTTGTGTTTTTTTTAATTCAATTTTTTTATTATAATTTAATTTAACCTAACAAAGTAACTTAATTTAGGTTTAATAATATATATTTTTTATAAATATAATAATTGAATATTCTGTTAGAACTCAATAATTATCCTAATTATATTTTAAAATGAGATGTTTAATCTTTTATTTGATTATGTTTATCTGCAGTTAGTTACACGAATTCAAACATAGAGCTTTAATAAGTTGTACTTATGCATAATTTACTTGTAATCTTGAATTTTAAGTAATATGCATCAATAAACAGTACTTCATGCATAAAAAATGGTTTTTAAGAGTTTTTGTCAAATGTTTTATAATATAGTATAGATATATAACATAAGAAACCATGTCGGCTTCTTCTTCCTCTCTTCTTTCATTTCAACTGCCNAACAAAGTAACTTAATTTAGGTTTAATAATATATATTTTTATAAAAATAATAATTAAGTATTCTGTTAGAACTTAATAATTATCCTAATTATATTTTAGATTTTTTATAATTTAAGATGAGATGTTTATCCTCTATTTGATTATGTTTATTAGCAGTTAGTTACACGAATTCAAACATAGAGCTTTAACAAGTTGTACTTATGAACAATTTACTTGTAATCTTGAATTTTAAGTAATATGCATCAATAAACAGTACTTCATGCATAAAAAATGATTTTTAAGAGTTTTTGTCAAATGCTTTATAATACAGTATAGATGTATTTAAATTCTATAATTGTCTTTATTATTTAATCAACTGTTTTTTAAAACAACTAATTTTTTTTTTAAAACAGTAATGTTGTTTCACCAATGAAACAACATATGATTGATATGTATTGATTCGTTTTACTAATTCAGTGTCATTTCACCAATGAAACAACATATAAATTGATTTGTATTGATCAGTTTTTGATATAGTGTTGTTTCACCAATAAAACAACAGTGAGATGGTTGGTCTGTTTTGAATAAATATTGTTTCACCAATGAAACATTACATTGATAAGGTGATTACAAATGGGGAAAGTGCGTTTTTTAAAGAAACAACTGATAAGATAAATAAAGAAGTTAAATATGTATGACATATATTGGTTCATATAGTTTCTAACATATAAGCCGTTTCTAAGGTGTCATGTGTGTGTGTGCGCGCACGTGTGTGCAATAGATAAGGGTACTCTTGTAATTTAACATTTGTCTTATTCTTTTTTTTTTGTTTCACTTAGGGGCCGTTCACCAAACACTTACCCGGTAAGCGTTTATCGGTAAATTTAATAATATAATTTACTTACCGGGTAATATTTTAATCCACCAAAACGATATCGTATGCAACAATTTACCCGGTAAGCACTTACCATGGTAAGAGTCGTCGCCCTCACTTACTGAATAAGACTCTTGGTACTTGTTTCGTTCTTACCGGGTAAGATTCTTGGTCCATACCATATTCATCCGATAAAATAATGTAACTTGATGTTTCACTTACCCGAGTAAGCATTTGGCAAACGACCCCTTATATTGATGGGACAAAAGAACTACATTTTTGTTTAAAATCAGTCATATCATGTATCAACTTAATATCATAAATATCAGATTAACAGAACAACCGATCGAAAAAACAACTCGTTGATGGGATAAAACAAGAATGTATAGTGTTTGATAACTCAACACTCTGAAAATATACGAGTGCTAAAACCTAGGATTTATTTGGTAGACACTGAATGATTTGGTGAACAAACGATTAAGAGGTCAGAATAATTAAGAGATTTTTCATGATTTGATGCAAAATGAAAGTCGTATTTTGGCAAATGTTTTTGAATAAGGAGTTGCAAATAGGGTCATTGAAGATTTCGAGAATTTAACGATGCATAATTTAAATTTATTAAACAAACATCAAGCTCGAACCTTGAAAAGTTTATTTGCACTCGAGGCTGATCTTTTTTCTTGAACCAAGCTCAAACAATCTGCTAATGGGCTCGAGGCTCGGCTAGTTAACACCTCTAGCTGCAACCACGCTTTCCCGTGCCTTCCCAATAGAAAAAACCCGTCCACGATCGATACAAAAAAATTGATTTTATAGGACACCTAAAATTAAGAAGCGTCCTAAAACGATTCTTCATAGGACTTAAGTTTATATGACCAAACCAAAAAGCGTGATATCTAAAAGTGTTACAATAGGTTTATAAGACGCTTCTATACATTTTAACAAGTTTTTTAAAACGTTTCTAAGACAAAATGCCATATTAACTATTTTATATAACACTATTTGAAAAAGTGTCTTATAAAAAGAATTGTTTATAGGACACTTCTCAAAAATGTCTTATAAAATAGCTAATAGAACACTTTATTCTAAAACATTCTAAAAAACTTGTTTAAACACTTAAAAGGGTCTTATAAACCTATTGCAACACTTTTAGACATGACACTTCATAGTTTGCTCCTATAAACCTAAGTTCTATAATGTATTTTATTAAGACGCTTAGACAATCGAATTTTTGTTGTAGTGGTTATGGTGAGATGGGTGAGAACAGATCTTTATCCTTTGATCAATCTTAACTGAAGATCAACAGTAATGAGATGCACCAGATCAATTCCCACGAGAAGTGCAATTCATGGGATAGGGCGAGGTTAAAAGTGATCAAAGGTCTAGATCTCTTCTTACGCTTCTCATCTTAACTCCTATTCTCATACGTTACTTCGTCTGACATCCATATCAACAACAAAGAGCTATAGAAACGACTATATATTGCAATACCAAAAAGCACGATAGGAGTTAAAAATCCAACATTCCAGCAAAACATTTAAGATTCCGAGTTCGACTTCAACACATTCCACGAAATTGAACGAAAGTTCAATAACGCCCACGTCGTCACTTAACATCGTCCAACAGGCTTGAACGGAACTCCACACGACTAGATGCAACGTCACTAGCTGGGATCCGCGACGGAGGATTTGCAAAATGTGCAAGTGGCGGTTGTTCCCAGAAGGGAGCCATCGATAGCCAGCGTTCTTGATCAAACTTCACACCAACGCCCCTGCGTTCTCTAACCTTCTTTACCGGCACTTCAAATTCCCACTTTCGCTTGCATGAATTCCTTGTCACCTATCATGATACAGTTTCATTAAAAAATGTAGTTGAACGAAAAATTTAGGCCAAAATGCATCGGAATGCAACAAAGTTTGCCCGAGTTGCCAAAGGGTCATTGGCCCAAAGGTACACAAGGTTACTCGTACTTTATATGAGTCAAGAATCATACCTCCACATTCTGGCGGTGTTCAGCGTCAAACAAGGTGGCACCGGAACTGGGTTCACCTGCAAAACGAAAAAGACATGCATCCACAACACCAGTAGCCAAAGTTATTTGGTGTACTTCAGGAACATTTTCGACCAAGCGATACGTTGGTTTTTATCTTGATATTTTAGAACGAGAAAATAAAAATTTAAGGTTTAAGGAAGACTAAACCTCGTACCTTTTCCAAACAACCTTTCTTTGATCCGATTATACGGACAAGTAGGCGGTGTAGCTTTGTCTCGGAAAGCTAGCGATGGCAATGGAGATGCGATGATCTCTTTGAACGAAAGTCCTTTGTGCAGGTATGGTGTCACCTGTGTCTGTTGTCCGAAAAAGGGAACCATAAACCAAACAAGTCCAAGATATCCCACCCGGAGGTGGGTCCCGCTTTTTTTTGGGGGGGGGGGGGGAAGATGCAGGCAGACTTGACCTCTATCCTAAAGAGTAGAGCGATTGATTTATATTTGGAGTTTTTTAATTAAAAATTAAATAATATTAAGAAAACACCAAGAGGAAAACTATTGCTCCTTTTTTTCTCTACTAAAGCCTTGTATCAATCGGTAATTACTACAAAATCAACCCACAAACAAAGATGACTTTTTTTTTATTATTAACCTGGATATCCAACCCGCTATGCGAGCCGACTAGTCCCAAGGCGACCACCTGTTTTGCAGATAGCCCAGAGTCACAACATTTGAACCTACGTGGCCACAAGGGGATTTTTATTCCTCCTTGGATTTGAACCTGGGACCTCCCGGTACTTTTGACCTTTGGAGCCAAGCTCAAATCAATCAGGCACCACCCTTGTTTAATTCAAGAAAAGATTCAATAACCGCTTAAAGTGCCCAGAATATAATCAAATCGTATGACTTTATCTATAAGCGCAAAGGGGTACCCGTTTCAAATTTAAAGCTTCCGATGGCTATGTAAGTTTAATTCTATCATCCCTCTGAAATATAACTAACCTTGTTTTCCTCAAAAACATTGTTGTCACAGAAAGCCGGAGCTAAAAAGATCTCAAAAATGTATGCTTTGAAAAGATATAGAAAGCGCAGTGTTCGATTCTTTAAAATCAGAACTAGACTTTAGTCACAGAACTAACGGAGACATGATTGTCTAAATTAGGAATTGACGATAGACGCCCTCAAATAATATTAGAAGATAGAACTCAATGCAAAAACAGGTGTCCTGAAATCGAACTTGTTTAGTAACGAATTTTTTCCCCACTATGAAGAGCTTGAATCATAAAAACTCTAGCAAGAACGCAATCACTAATTCCTATATATTTTGCAGCCGTTGGCTACGGTGGCCTATAAAGAGTGTACGAGAGAAAATTACCTTCTGTAGCTGCCGACCGAACAAGGAAGAAGAACTTCCTGAAGAATCATCGAAGAAAAGAACTATAAAAATCATAAACAAATAACAATGAAGAAAATCACAAAAGTATGATTTCAAACCGGATTATTTTTATTAAAAGAGGCGTTGACGTCATAATCTCTTCATCGAAGTAAAGATGAGTGGCGTCGACGTTGACGTTGTCTTCTTGAATTTGGGGAGAAAAGAAACGGAAGGAAAAAAAAAAAACAATTTTTCATGTCCCGAATAGGAGAGAAAGGAAAGGAAAGATGTCAACTTTACAAATATACCCTTTAAAAATATATCCTTTAAAGTGAAAGATTGGATAGTTATGTAATTTTAATAATCTTTTTAAGAGTAATTACAAATGTAACGTTTTTAGATTATAGGGAGAGGTGGTTGCCTCGCTTCGACATGATTATAATAATAAAAAATAAAAATAAAAATAAAACCGTATCCAGTTTTAAAATGATATCGGTATATTTAACTTTTGAGCAAAAAACAGTAATTACAACAAATTTGATATTTGAAGTCAAAATAAGACAACGGATAGAGAATCACAGAAAATAACTCACGCTAAACACGTTAAATGGTAAAAGAAATAACATATAACACAACTAAGCAACTACATGCCTTTTTTGTTCTTTTCGGTTTCAATTTTACTTTGTCCAAAATAAATGTCCACAATGAAAAAAGACGCTCAGTTTTAGAAACGTGTAACGATTACATTTTTGAATGAATTAAATGACAATTTTACCTTTAATAATAGAGGGAGTAATGAATTTCTCCGTAGCACAATTAAGGGTATAATTGAAAAGTAGGCACTTAATTTGAAAGTGGACATTTATTTTGGGACAAACTAAAACAGAAACGTGGACACTTATTTGGAGACGGAGGGAGTATAGCATATAAAAATTGTACCCCTTTTAGGCCTATAATCGGAAACTAATATTTAATTTTGGATCGAGATGGAACAACTCACCTTCATGATCAAATCCGCTAGCGAAGCACCTTCCTTGTAGAGTTCCCTCTTTTGCAACCCCTTTACCTTTTGACATATCTGCGTCTAAAATACGTAATTTATAATTAATCCAGAAATAGAAGTGCTTAGAATTGCACCAAACATCGCAAAAAATGCTACTCATAACTTACACGTAACGGGTGTTTTAAACCTTTTCATGTCTTTTATGACGCCTTCCTTCACTTCGTTTATGGATATTATCGCTACAATGAAAATTCAAACGGTTAGATCATAAGACCAAAATAATTATAGAAAGAATTGTATTTGATTCAGATCCAACTTATCTCTCCGATTCAAAAGCATAAAAGAATTAATAAATTTTGTGATTTTGCTACAAGTGAAGCAGTGGGAGAAGGGTTTGCTCTACCCTCTAGAGCACCGACACAGTATTGGTCTGACGACCATCAGCGGGAGGTAAATCGTGGTGTCCTAAGGCAGGGTGTGCTCTACAATATACATTCCTCGTACTTGACAAAAAAAATCTAGAAACCACAAGGGTGGTGCCTGATTGGTTTGAGCTTGGCTCCAAAGGTCAAAAGTACCTGGAGGTCCCACGTTCAAATCCAAGGAGGAATAAAAACCCCCTTGTGGCCACGAAGGTTCAAATGCGGTGACTCCGGCTATTTGCAAAGCAGGTGGTCGCCCTGGGATTAGTCGGCTCGCATAGTGGGTTGGATATCCAGGTTAATAAAAAAAAATCTAGATCATTCAAAGCGTCTTCAAGAACTTCGACGATTAAAAAAACTCAACGAAATATGAAAAAGATACGTGGAAGTTAAAAGACAAACAAAGGCTCACCATTGGTAACGAGCTCCATCGCTACGCTAAATGGCTCCACCTGAGATTTTGCAAGCGTTGCGGCTTCTTGCTCCAAGAGAAACTTCACATGGTTAACAACAAACCATCTTTTCGCTAAATCATCGTCTGAAAGACGAACAAGAAAGTTGTTCCAACATTTAGGAAGGTAAATCTTGGATGGTTTGTGTATCGGTACAAGAGAAGATGAATCCATAGTTCCCTTTCTCTTAATTAAAGTATGGACTCTTTTGGGTTTGACGATTTATATGAAAAGAGTTGGCATTTTATAGCACTGAACTTCAATTAAAAATTGCTATTTATTTGCATAATCCAACCTCATATCTTCAATGTACAATTATCTCATTTAATAAATGCTTCATGATATTAATGTGCCATTATGACCACTTTTTTTGTTTATAATTCGAGTGTTCTAATAGACTACTTTATAGGACTTAAGCTTATAAGACCACACATGTGTGTCCTATCTAAAAGTGTTGTAATAAGTTTATAGGAAACTCTTGGGTATCTTAACAAATGGTTCAATACACTTCTAAAACAAAGTGTCCTACTAGCTCTTTTATAGTACACTTTTTTTAGAACACATCTTTTTATACGACACTTGTCCTATAAGACACTTTTTCAAACAACGTTCTATATAAAAATACTACTAAGACCCCTTGTTTGAAAAGTGTCCTAAAAAGCTTACTAATTAAGACGCCCAAAAGCATTCTATAAACTTATTACAACACTTTTAGATACGACACAGATGTGTTTGGTCCTATAAACTTAAGTCCTATAAACTAGTCTATTAGAACACTCAGACATTTCCTGTGTCCTATAAACCCGATTTTGTTGTAGCGTGGAACATGTTATGCTTGATGACGTGGGGTGGTAAATGACATGATAACGTTACTATATACATTTCAGATTAATAATGAGTTACCGTATGTAATCACAGTCATAGAAGTTATCTAGGTAAAGCTCTTTAGTGTAAAAGATAATGCAAGGACAAGTATAAAATTTGTTGAAGATTCATTTGAATTCCCAACAAACAACTAATACTAGTTTTTTAATAAATGCAAAAGTTGAAAGAAAAAAAATAATACGCTAGAAGACAATAAATAAATTACTTCCTTGAGGGCAATTTAGGGGAGAACCTTGTGGTGCCTGATTGGTTTGAGCTTGGCTCCAATGGTCAAAAATACCAAGAGGTCCCAGGTTCAAATCCAAGGAGGAATAAAAATCCCCTTGTGGCCATGGAGATTCAAATGCGGTGACTCCAGGCTATCTGCAAAGCAGGTGGTCGCTCTGGGATTAGTCGGCTTGCATAGCGGGTTGGATATCCAGGTTAATAAAAAAAAACATATTGAAGTGATTGTCAATAGGAAAAATAAGCAAATTTGGATTAGAATCTAACCAAATAATAAATTGTAGCATCTTCTATGACAACCCAAAATGTAAGTGTCGCATTGAAAAGTCATAGGCGTTATGTTGATAAAGTTTAGCGTAAAATATTACGCACATTCAAATAAAAAATTAGTTGAAGATTCATTTGAATTCTCAACAAACAATTAATACGAGTTTGTTGAAATAAATGTGGAAATGTGAACATATGATACGCTAGACGACAAAAACAAATAAATTATTTCATTTGTCCCAAGAAAGATGCAAGGTTTCCTTAACAATGTAATTTAAGGCATATTAAACATGTAACCAAATTGAGAGAACTTGTGGACGGACGAACCTAGAGGGGTGGTTAGGTGGCATGTGCCACTGTATTGTTCCTCCGTGGTAAGGTAAAAAAGATTAGGTTCGTGAAAGGTGCAACCGTTTTATTTTAGAAGGTGCAACCGTTTTATATGGTGCCACCATATCCACAAATTCTTGGGTCCGTCACCGGTGGGAAAATAAGCAAAATTGGATTGGAATCCTACTATAAACCGTTGCATTTTGTGAGGAAACACAAAATGGGAAGTGTTGCATTTTTAAGAATAGGGCGAGAACTATATACCCCAAAAGAAGAGAGAGAGAAGATATATTGAAGGTTTTATATCAAAGGATGTCCATTACTTTGTTTCTTTGACGGTGTAGTCAGATAATAATTTCTTGTAATTGAATAAACCATACCAAACGATCCCAGTATATCCCACTCGAAAGTAGGGTCTGTGGGACGGGTAGGATGTAAGCAAACCTTACTTCAACCACTAGGATCAAGAGGCTTATTTCTTCTAATTGAATAATAACATATATTTATGTGGGAAAAAGATACTAACTCGGACATCTTGCAAAGCTTAGGGTCGCTAATCCGGAAGAACTTGTAAAAAAATGTGAAACAACTTGAAGATGTCACTGGGCCACAAAAAAAAAGCACAATTTATTTGAACGAACACAGCTTACAACTTTCATCGTACTATGCTCTCCAAAGAGCAACTCTTCTCAAAATCTCACTCAAAAGGTGCTGAGTTGGAATCCCGTTCTAATAAAATAACAATAATCGACTTCTTTCAACGATCACTACAAATTTATTCAATGTACTTATAGGCATGATAATCTTGTTTTCATTATTTTATCTAAAGATTTAGTGATACCTTGCTTATTGAAGGAAAGATAACTGAGCAATTGTACTACTTGCAAGTTCAGTAATTTGCTAGTATTTTCCTTCAAAGATTGAGAGTAAACCAACACAGTATATCCCACCTAGGGGTGAGGTCTAGGGAAAGGTAAGATGTACGCAAACCTGACCAATACCCAAAGAGTAGAGTAGTTGCTTCCATGAAGACCCATGGCTCGTGCAATGGGTGTGTGTGAAAGAGAGAGGGGGGGGGACTAGGTAGAAGCAAACAACAATAGAAACACAAGACGCAAATAGACAGAAGCATAGCAAAAGAAACTACACAACCCCAAACTATCTTACCCTCCCGCTAGAGCATAAATTGGCGAAAATGATTTAATTTTGCAAGAAAGAAATTCAAAAAATTAATAATAAAATCTCAAATGTGTTTTCATAACCACAAAAACAATTTCAAGAAACCTTGAAAAATTATGAAATGCCACTAGAAAGAAGCCATGAAAACATTGAGAGAACATGGACTTCTATGTTCAAGATTACAGAGAGGAGTTGTGATATTTTCATTCTAAATGTACAAGAACAACCCTCTCCTGTAGAAGAAAAGGCGTTGTTTGAATGAATCACATTCCTAAGATTCCGTTCTCAATTAGTGATCAAAAAACATTTTTCCTCCCATTGTAACACTCCATTTCGTTCCCACTTTCCTTATGCCTACCCTATTGATTCTAAGCTTCGAACCAACAAATGTGCAATATCTTTAACATGATATTTAAAATTTCTTTGTTTATTTATTTATTTGGTGTCAACCGTACAACTAATTTGAGAACAAGAAAATGTTCCGAATTTGAAAAGACTTACTAAATAAACAAAACAACTAGTTAGTCGAAATAGTCCAAACTAATATAATTAAAACGAAACCATTAATATATTTTATCAAAATTAAAATAAGTAGTAAGAAAAATAAAGGGTTTTCCATTTAATGGACCTTCTATGAACTCCATATCATGTTCGCATTATTTTTATGAATTTCTCACATCCCATGGCACGACCTTGACTGTTAGGGAATGTAAAGAATTTTCTAAAATTATCATCAATTAGTGTAACCAAATTTGAATTTTAAAAAATTTGTCACACTAATTGATGATTTTGATTAACCCTTACACATAATATGAATAAGATCAAAGTTTGTCAACTAATTTTTTTAATAAATTATTAAATTTTCAAAAAAAATTGTTATTATTATTAACTTTCTCAAAAAATATTTAACTAATAATTACGTACTTTATCCAAAACATGTATTGATTAATAACCAAAAAAGCCCCTTGAGATTATTGAAAACTTTACATCACGTGATGTTTCAATAAGCTAGCGTATGGCTAACCAAAGGGAACTTTCTCAATAAGCTCAAGAAATAAGCTAGCTTAGCTTGTCAAACATGGCATGAGTATATAGGAGCCTAAGTGGAGGGGGGAGCGGACAAGAGAGGGTAACGGGTATAAATTGTGGTACTTTTGCATGAAGAGCACGAGAAATGGTGTGGGAGTCATGTTATAAATGGCACAACATGATGGAAGTGAAGAGATATGATGGCATATGGTGCATAGAATCGTAGTAGGTACAAAGATAGTAACATCTTTTGTGCTTGCGTGTTGCAACTAGGTTCAGGGAGTCGAAAAAGAAGAGTTTTTGAGATAGACGAGACGATTTGGTGGGAGGCTCGCCGAGAGACCAACAATTATATATAGGAGGTGACTTCAATAGACTTGTTGGGGGGAGGGTCGAATGGTTATCAAGGAGTGCACAGGGGTTTTGGCCATGGTACAAGGAATGACGGGCATGTTGCTACTGGAATTTGCATTCGAACACGACCTAGTAGTTACAAACCCTTGCCTTAAAAGTGAAAGAAGCATCTAATCACCTTTCAGAGTGGAGGTCGTAGCATTAAAATTCACTACATCCTGATGCATGGACGTCCGGGCCGCAGTATATGAATGGATTGCACAGTATTTCCTAGCAAGACATGTGCATCGCAACACAGTGTGTAGGCAAGCAAAAGGGAGAGTGAAAGAGGTTAGGCCACGAATCCTTTAAGAAAGCTTGAAGGGGCCGGTAGCAGAGGTTTTAAGGGATCGGGTCCTTTTATAGGTAGGGATAAGTCAAGTGAGGGCCAATCAAATGTAGAGCAATGTGGCTCCCCCATGAGAGAAGTTGCCAGAAGACGCTAGGAGTGATGTCCGGGAGGGTCAGGACTCAAAGGAGTCTTGGTGGTGGAGCGAAGAGGTACAATGGGGGGGGGGGCGAAAAGGTATATTAAGAATGTAGACAGGCGGGTTCTAGTGACGAAAGATGGGGTAGTTACTTTCAATCGTTATTCGATGGGACGGTAGAAAGGTAGAAACGAAGAACCCCCAAAGAAAAAAAAAATATACCTCACTAGCTCCCTTCCTCCTAGCCAAGCTAGGTACATGACCCTCCTAGTTTGCTACCCTAGTCCTGTGTCTCCAAGCATTCCTATAAAAGGTCATGTCCTCGGAAATTTCTAGGGCCACCATATCTAATCGTAGTTTTCATAGAACTATCTATAATGTGAATGCAAGTTGATGGCCTTACTTCCCGCTAGAGCATAAATTGTGAAAATGATCTAATTTTGCAAGAAATTTAAAAAAATTAATAATAAAATCTCAAATGTGATTTCATGACCACAAAAACAATTTCAAGCAACCTTGGAAAATTATGAAATGCCACTAGAAAGAAGCCAGGAAACATTAAGAGAGAACATGGACTTCTATGTTCAAGATTACAGAGATGAGTTGTGATATTCGAATTGAATGTAAAGAACAACCCTCTCCTACAGAAGAGAAGGCATTGTTTGAATGAATCACATTCCTATGATTCCGTTTCGTTCTCAGGATACTTCCAAGTGGAAATAGAGCTACGCTAGGGATCGAAGCTAAGCCCATTACACCAGGTGACCATTAGACTAGCTTTGTTTTACGAGTCAGAATGTTGAGTGATAAAAAAGCGCATGAGAGAAAATGGAAGTCACGAAAATGAAGATGTTGAGGTGTACTTGTTGGATAGGATACGAACTTGATGTTGAAGTCACGGCCTCTCTATCTCTACATAAAGGTTCGCATACATCTTAACCCTGTGATCCTACCTCTGGGTGGGATATAGTAGATGTTCTTGGGTTGGTTTATCCTTTGGAGCATAATTTAGCAAATCTTTAACAGCTTGTGGACCAAAATCGATATCACAAATATCTTTAAATGATTTCTAACGAAAAAATAAGTAAACTTGGATTGGAATCTTAGTAAAACATATTTGTTCTAACAATTTTGTAAATTTCTAAAATTAATTTCTTTTATCAATCGTGACATTTTTTATCGAATGTGCACATAGGCATGATAATCTTGTTTTCATCATTTTCCTTGAAAGAAAACATAAATGAATGAATGTACTTCTTGCCGTTATTTTCCTATTCACATTGAAAATAACTTCCGTGGAACTTCCTGAACACGTGGAAATTATTTGGGGAGCGTTTGGTATGCGCACAGAACTAGACTAGACTAGTTGTGTGTTTGGTACAACCAGGACAAGACGACATTTTGTTGATCTTCATTATTAACTTGTAAGTACCTAATTTGCCATTTGATTGTGTGCTAATGAAAACGATCTCACCTCTCATATGGACATAAACTATCACATCAATAGTGGAACCACGTTCAATCTCGTATGACTTACTTGTCTTTGGAAATATGCAATGCATTGTGGAGTTGTTTATGTTCTTGGTTGCATATCCTTGGTCATTGTTATTGTTTAAAGCTGTAAAGCATAGTTTCGACCCATTTTCTATTTCATATTGTTGTTTCATGTGTTACATTGATCTCTACATGTTTTTATGATTGGGACTAGAGATCTTTGGTGTATTTGGTCGATAGGAGTCACTATTCATCCTACAAGAAATGTGATAAGCCAACATGCACCGACAATGATCAAATATTAAGTCTACTTATTCAACCACATCGAGAGTAGCTCATGATACTTCAATAGTCAAATATATTAAACTCACCCTCTTCTAGTGACCTAGGTAATGTATGTTTTCACTGACCCATGCCCAATAACTAGTGCAATTTAAAATCCTTCCTCAGTTCCAGACCCATTGACCTTATCATGACTACTAACCCTATGATTGACCTTCCCACTGATCACCTCTTCCTCTCATCCTGACCATACAAAAATCCCCCCCTAACCCTTTACGACTTCCATAACATCTCATTATCTCAAGAAGGTTTCGACGCACCAGTTATAACCAGTAATGGATAAGGTCGAAGAGTAGTTACAACCGAATCTGAGTTCTGAAACATGCAGGTCTAGAGCTCTAGATATACTCAGACCGGAGATAGGAGTCATCTCTGGACACATATGTTCAGCGATAGTCTGAAGACCAACCAGAGATGGGAGCCATCTCTGAACAAACGTTCAGAGATAGGCCGAAGACCATCCAGAGATAGGAGCCATCTGTGAACACACATGTTACATGATACGCCGAAGACCAACTAGAGATCGCTAGCACGACCAGAGCTATCTCTGGGCAAAGTCAAGACTTATCAGATTTCTAAGTCTGAGAAATACAAGTCTGAACACGCAGGTCCAGAACTTCGTATGCATTGTTTCAAAGATAGGCGCAGCCCCCTTGACCCCTGCTTCATGGCGATCTAAGGTGATAGGGGCAACATTTGTAAGTGTGCACTCCGCACCTCCTAACTCACATATGTTTGCCTCATCGCCTTAATCGATTTCAAGTAAATCACAGTTACACCAAAATGCTCGATGACACTAAAATCACCAACATACATGACTATTTGGTAGTGGCTTAATGTATAGAAAGTAGTTTATTCTGTAAGCTTCTAGGGGGAGCTTTATGCAGAAAGCCAAGTTTTTTCCAAACCTACCCCTCCCAATTAAAACCACGCTCCTTCCATCTATGGAAAAACCCTCCCAAATAAAAGTCTTTCCAATCCATACAGACAAATTAATCCACAAGGACAGTTTTATCCGTACAGGACTTAATGGATAACCAACCAAACAGCCCCTAATGACTTTCTTTAACCTGTTAACATTGCCTAGAGGCTCATTTGTCTACCCCTAATATAAGGTCTATCTGATTTTAAACATTTTCATGAATTGGGTGACTGTAACATGAAGACTCATGGTGCCAATAGAAAGGGTTGTTCTCCATTGGTTACCTCTAGAAAGGTTGGGTTACCGGATACGGCTAGGCCAAAGACCCTTTGGTAACAATGCTAACAGATGCTACTTAAGATTAACGAAGTAATTTTCGTATAAACAAGAAACAGACTGTTCCAAAATTATGATATAGCCTTTTAAAACCAGAGACAACTTAGAGTTATAGAAGGAAAGAAAGTAATACAAGCATACATTGAAGAACATACCGTGTATACACCATTCTGAAGAAAGCAACAAAGGCAAATGCAGTTCCTATATGTCGAACCATTTCGATTAGCGTAATCTTCATCAAGCAGAAACAAACAGCACTACTTTTAAGCAATGTTTAACCAGTTTAAGATCAAGACCACTGTTGAGTAGGTCGTGAATCGAACACCCTCTTACATCTGCATTAAAGTGTAGATAAGATCAACACCAACAACTTCTTTTAAGCAAATTTGAAACCAATATAGTAATAATAAGCAGATATTGGATACAAAACTAATAGCAAATCAAGAACTTGTTAAATCCCAGGTCATACTTTTAGAATTTTAATACCAATCAATTTTCAATCAGAAGACCCAAAGATTTCAGGAAAAAACAATTATGAGAAAGAATATAAAGACATTAACTTAAGACGATGAGGTAGACGAATGACTACTTTCACTAGCATAGTAGAAGACATAGAGATCCTGAATTGAATGTTCGGGAATCAAGTGTGTTCATTGATAAACTTAACACATGGACATCCATTAGCACCGCCAATTATGGGTGTTCATGTGTGTAAAGTACTAAAATACCCCTCTTTTTATTCGGGTTTGTTGAAAGAATTATTTTTTCCTTTTTAATTTTCGAGTCCTACAAATAAACCGGTGGCACCATTTGACTATAAGAAACAAATATAGAGATATTTTTCATAAAATCATCGCTGGTCTGTTGGTTAGTTCATTGTTTTTCATATGTGAGGTCATGTGTTCAAGTCTTTTATTGCAATATTTTGTCAGAACCATCATAAATCTGAAATTGAAAGCTAAAAACCAAGAAAATGACACTAACGGGATTCAAACTCAGGTCTGGGGTAGAAGAAAAGCCTATAATTTTTTACACTACGACAGAGGAACGAAGCGGCGGCCCATGCCACCATATGCACCACACTGGGTCCATCCCTGGTCCCATGGGATTAGTCGAGGTGTGCACAAGCTGGCCTAGACACCTACGATTAACCAGAAAAGAAACATCGAAGGTTAAGTATCATTAAGCTAACTGCTTTGACCTTTAAACATAAAAATGCATCCACAACCTAAATGGTATTGGATTCAATTCTATATTCTCTAGTGCCCTATGCAGAGCTCCACTCATCAGGTATGGGAACTAAAAGAGTCCTACAACCATGGGGTGGTTTGGATACGTGTTTTCAAAGTGATTATTGCGGATTTAAGAATCATAATCAAATCATCGCTTGATTAAATATAATGATGGTCATATAATTTAAGATTTCTTGTAGAAAACTTCATGAAACGTGGTTATTTACTTATTTTGGACCTAAATATAACGAATCCAACATTGCATCCCCATAATTAGAGATGGGAATGGGGTCGAGGGATCGCAATCCCCATCCCTGTTTTCTAATCCCCGTCCCTATCCCCATTTCCGTCAAGGAATAAGATTTCATCCCCATCCCAAGTCTATACAATTTAATTTTTTGCGCAAAGTTTTTATATATTATGTATATAAATGTCAATTTTCCACGACATATAACGTTAAAATATTAATTACCCAAATTTTAGTAGTTGCATTTGTATAAGGGTAACATAAAAAACGCAGTTCAAACACAAATATATCAATTACAATACTTAGTTTTATATAATCACGTAGTTATATCAACAAAAGTTTTCATGTACAACCAAATTAATAATATAATTAATTTTACAAGTTTTCATCATGAAAGATTAATTATATTTATACATTATTATGCTATCTTTCCTACGCTTTTCACCGTAACTTCCCACGTAGAAATGTATATTTAATACTTAGGGCCGGGGTCGAGGATGAAGGGTATCCCATGTCCGCCCCCTCAGCCCCCTCGGTTTATATATTCGGGGATCCGTCATCCCGGTCAAATCGGGTTCGGGTTTCGGGTGCCCCTTGGGATGCTGGTTTTTGCCATCCCTACCCATACCATAATTTCCTAAATATTGTTTTATCGAATAATCATGTATTTGTATAAATTAACGTTGGATTCAATTAGGGCTTGCTCAAACGATGAAACAAAAAAAAAGGTTACTTTTTGTTGCAATGATAAGTCATCCCACTTCAAATACATCATATGTGGATACCTTTTATGGGCAAAATGAGATAAAGGTGCGAAGCTGAAGTGTGGGTTTGGACGCATACCCTGCCAGTCGAGTTGCCGGTGCCGAGACGGCGAGGTAGATGGGGAGGCACTGACGGAGAGGCCGACGGCAGCGGGCATTCCACCATCTCATTAGATTTTGGAGATTTTAAAAGGGAAGAAAAGGAATTTCTTTTCTTTTCTTTTCCTATGAAAATGAATGATATCATCGAAAGTACTTTTGAAATATCCCTAAATTATAACACCGAATAATGAATTTGAAAAATGATTTTTCAGACTTGAATTTAGAAATGAAATTATATCAATAATTAATTAGAAAATAAAGTTAACCTTAAAATAAAATAAAATTTATAAAATGAAATTATTTCGGTAAATTGCATTTAAACTTAGAAATAAATTTACAATAACTCTTCAGACTTATACTCTTGAAATAACTCTAACGTATAACTCTGAACTATAACTATGAAGAATGACTTCAGACTTGTACTCTTGAAATAACTCTGAATAATGACTTCAGACTTGTACTATTAAAATAATTCTGAAGTAATAACTTTGAAGAAAATGACACTGAAAAATGACTTTGAAGAAAAACCCTGGAGAATAACTCTTAAATATAACTCTAAAGAAGGACTCTTCATACTTGTACTATTGAAATAACTCTAAAGTATAACTCTGAAAAATGACTCTTCAAACTTGTACTATTTAAATAACTCTGAAGTATAACTCTGAAATATAACTCTGAAGTAAAACACCATTTTTTTTCAGGAATCAGTTACCACACGAATTAATTAATCAAGAATAAAATCAATTGCATCCTAAATTAGTTGGATTGATTGAACAAGAGAACACGTGTCGCTCAAATGAGTCTAATTGAATTGATAATGTAAATTGTGTCTACATACGTCTTTAGGCGGGAAAACAAGATGACACGTGTCACCCAAGTGACTTATTTACTATATGTATAGATATACCCAAAAACGAGAGAACAACCTCTAAGCTAAAAATTGTGTTTTATATCATATTTTGAGAGAAATTAAAGTATTTTTCAAATTAAAATAAACAGTAAAACAATTTCAAAATTTTTGAAGACATGGAAGGATAAAATTGGAAATTGATATCCTAAAATTCAAATAACACGATGTACAGATTCTGATATCTGGGTGGTGATAATCATCGTCGTCGGTCTTGGGTTATCACATACAACACGGAGATAGTTTACATTCCTGTTCGAAGGCGAAACTGAAAACAACGAATGAACCGAGTTGAGGCGAGCGTACACTCTTGTTCGTAAGTGTCAAGGAAGAAGACCGTACAGTCTATTTCGAAGGCATCGAGGAAGAATATCAAAGGTATGTGTCTAATAACACGACTTTATCACATATTATGACACTTCAATTAGGATTTGATAGATGTCTGCAATCAATTAGGGCTTCGATCTATTAGAGATTCGAGGAGAGAATGGCCATCATAGACTTATCACAGTTGAGGGCATGGTCGAGAAAGCGAACAAGCAAACTATTACAACTCAAAAATCGATTATCACAATGCAGTTAGGGCAAATCGATTATCAAAATGTAGTTAGAGCAAAATCGATTAATGTATAATGTATGTAATTGTCAGATTACTTGCTTATCACATGATTATTACAGTATACATGGGATTGTAGGTATATTTGTAATTTTAAAAATATCAAAGCAAAAACATTATTTTATCCAACATTTTCATGTTATTAAATAAACTATTTTTATATTAAAGGGCTTGCAAAGTTATCCGATGTGTTTTTAACTTAATCTCACCGTTTCAAGAGATTTTTAAAGTTTGTTTGTATTGATTTCGAGATATTTTTTAGTTTTTCTTTGTCGATTTCAATGGACTTTTTCGGTTGATTTCGAGATACTTCTTTTGTTGGTGAGGCATCGGCCAGAAATCAAGGGAGGATTATGGTAAAAAGTAAAAAAAAAAAAACTCGTTTTAACCTATGCGAAAGAGGGGAAAAATTAATGGAGGCCCATCCGCCACCTTTTACATACTGCATCCGTCTTTGCATATACGTGTTTGAAGATATCACATCTTAAGTATAAAGACAATGAAACACGAGACTGCATAAAGCCACTCTCAAGGGTTCACCGGTGTTAGTCATGGGACGAGTCAGTTTGATCCAAACCCGTCTTTAACTTCGGCCTTTTACACACCCCTACATTCACTACTAGAAAACGAAACGAATTCAATTTCGTTTGCATTAACTTGTGTCCAATCCAAATGAATAAAAACCGTATTCTTTAAGTTTAAATAAAACATTTGCATGCCTTTTTTTTTTTTTGTCGATTAGGGGACATAGGATTCAATTTCAGGCACACCACCATGTCTTTTATTAACCACAAGGGTGGTGCTGATTGGTTTCAGCTTGGCTCCAAAGGTCAAAAGTACTAGGAGGTCACAGATTCAAATCCAAGGAAAAATAAAAATCCCCTTGTGGCCACGGAGGTTCAAATGCGGTGACTCCAGACTATCTACAAAACAGGTGGTCGCCCTGGGATTAGTTTGGCTCGCATAGCGGGTTGGATATCTAGGTTAATAAAAAAAATGTCTTTCAAAAACAGCTAAAAGGCTATGGGTCTATTTGTTAAAATTAGGTCACAACATACATTTGGACTTAAAGTCGGTTATATCCCGTCCCAGATACCAAACGCAGATGTTAAGACCACCGACTTATAATAAAGTATTCCCAATACTCTTTAGCATCTTTGAATTAAAACCGACCGATTTATACCTCAGGGATCCCATTCATCGATTAAATATAAAACACGAGATCACGAATCAAATTTTTAAGTAGCATTAAACTATCTAACAATCAAGAAGACAATAAAGGATGACAAAATCAAATACAAGCAACCCCATATGGACCTTCGAGCGATCATGTTTAACGCCAAATGTCATAAAAGCCATGAATATGGATCTCGACATAGGGACAAGAAGCATAACCTTCGTGGTGTTCCGCCAACGGCAAATGAAAACTTTTTTGAGGATCTTTTCTCAGACCATTGCATCATAATCATCCAACTTATCGTTATACACCATGACTTTTCTCTTAATCTTGGATGTATCTACCCAAGTGACGAAATCTTCCATGTTTCTTGTTACTAGAAATGCGGGATCGGTAACAGTATCTGGGCCCACTCGGATATGCCCTTGTTCTATATATGTCACAGCTTCCTTCAAGTGTTCGGCAAATTTCAATCGCACCAATAAAGTTGCAAGCCTACGTCTGAAATGATGAAGATATTGGTTCTCATGATCATGAAATGGATTTAAAATGTGGCAATGATATTGACCACGGAAATAAACCAAACCATACAGACCCGCTAAATCCCGGTCGAAAGTAGGGTCTGGTGGGTGAGATGTACGTAGATCTGACCTCTACCCGACAGGGTAGAGCAACTGTTGCCGTGAAGATCCTCAGCATAAGCAAATAGGGCGGAAGGAATGAAGACCAACATATGGGGATGAAGCAAAAAAAAAAACCCCATTTTTCATGATAGGGAATTTAACCAAATGAGTTTCTATGGAAGTCACTTTTTTTAAACACTAATATTCTAGTGTTTTTACAAGATTTACAAAGGCAAAGTGTTGGAGCATCTCCAAAATAGAGAACCAAAAGTCAAAATCTCTAAAATAAATTAGATTCACTCTAAAAAATTCTCTACTTTTGGGGATTTCAACATTAATTATATTATTAAAAATATTCTATAATTTTATCATCCCATACATTATTTTAAAAAATATTATGTAAAAGAATAATAATTCAATCTCATCCTCCATTAAGTTTTAGAGAATTATCTAAACATGGAGTTCTCTCTTGTTTTCTCTATTTTAGAGAACAATATAGAGAATCTGTTGGAGTAAAATACAGAAGAAGACCTCCATTTTCTCTATTATAGAGAATCTGTTGGAGATGCTTTATAGACACAGAGGCAAAATGTTTAACACCAAAGGCGGGCTCTGAAGGTTATCGAGTAAAACTTTTAGAATTAAAAGTTTGTTCCTAACTGAAACTCTTGTAACTAAAACCCTGTGAATTCTTCATGCCATTTCTATGAATGCTTATAAGATGAATGAGAGTTATCTTACCGACAAAATGAAGAAACGGATAAGCGATCACACAACGCTAAGCTTTTTTGAGATGGTATCACACCCATGTTGTACCTGCATCGCCACATGTTAAAACTTAAATGTAAGAATATGGTCCAAGAAAGAGATACTTGGTGACAATGCCTAGCATAACATGACATCCCAAACACCAACATATTCAAAATGCCAAACACAGTTACAAAAAGAAGGTTTAGTTTGAAAAACAGTAAAAGTATGAAGTAATATAGATATTTATATTGCATACCTCTTGACGAATAAAAACTATGTACAGTTTAAAAACTGTGATAGCATGATGGTACTATAGATCTTTATACTGCATATTCGGGTATTATATACTTTTAACTTCCTATGTTAGCAAGAGAATTTGTGCTAAAAATGTGCCATGTAATGGGTATCCAAAAAATAAACTTTCCAATTGTTGATATATATAGGAAGGGGGAGGTTCCGTTAGGAACCGGGAACAGGAGGATGGATATTCGTCGTTAATCACACATTCTATATTCCTTATGAATATGTCACGTGCCACTTTGGGCGGTCCCAGGCTCCTAATGGAACCTGCCCCTATATATAGAGAGAGGGGAAAGTTTCATTAGGAATCCAAACTTGATTAGGAACCCGGAAACCGCCCATAGTGCGCCACGAGTCATTCTTCAAGATGAATATTAATCATGAATAACACATTCATGATGTTAGTCTTCACTTTCACAGTGAATATGGATTTGTTATTCATCATAAATCACACATTCACAATGAATAAATGGCAACATTCATGATGAATAACATGTCCATAATTCTGGATGAACATGCCACGTGTAGCGATACCGTTGGTTCCCAGGTTCCTAATCAATTTTAGGTTCCTAACCGAATCTGCCCAATGTATACAATATATATGTATATGTGAAAGAAAAATACTGTTTACATTACTGTTCAGCGTTTCCTGGTTCAAAAGAAGTACCCTTTTCTAGGCTTAATTCGTACATATAAACGTAGGTTTTGAAAACAATACTAACAAACTCACAGCTTTTCAAGGAGGGCATCCGTCATCTCGATTCGATAAGGGTCTCTAGGATCCATCTGCTTCAATATGTTCACTAGTTTCTGTGCCATTCTACACAAACTCGAGTACCTAGTTTTCCCCACCACAACATTCAAAACAACAAATATGTCAATTACTATGAACAGACACAAAACTCACTAACCTAATTGCAACGCAGTACTTGAAAAGATACAAAATCAAAAGACAGGAGTAGGGTTCTTACTTCTTGTAATCATCACGGCCAGTAACATGATACCGATGCATAACCTGAGCTTCTCTGTGACCTCCTTCTCTCTTCCATTCCAAGAAATTGACCTTCTTCAGTAGCTTCTTTTCATGAAACTTCAGCTTCCTCATCTTCTATCGATTGAGTTATGGAAACAGAAACGCGAATCAAAAAGGAACAGAGGGTTGGAGAAGAAAAAGCTTAAACCCTAAAAATTTGATCCCAAATATTTGAAGTCTGAAAATGTTCCCAAGATCATTGAAGACTTTAAATGAATTGGGCTTCAGATATGTTATTGGATTGGGCTTCAGTTGTCCATCAAAAATGGAGAAAGCCCATTAATGATTTTTGGGTTATTAATTAATAATTTAATATCTCCTACAATTTTTCAAAAAGAATTTAAAATAAATATTTGGATTTTATCCATTTTAGAAATTAAAACATTACGTATATATTTTATTAAAATATTTTTTTTTCTTAAACATATAATTTGTAAGATTTTTTATTTTTTATTTATTAAATATTAAATAATTTTTTTTAATAGTTATTCAAATTTGGAAATTTTCATCAGTTTCATTGGACCTGGCCCACCTGGCCCAACACCAACTCAAGACATGGCCAACAACCGGTCCCTAGATGGGTCGGGTCAGTCCAAATCAATCATGAGAAACAGTAAAGATCCGGATCGGTCCCGTTGAAAATACTAAGACCAGGTTATTGATTCTTGTAACCGGTTACGGTAACGGGTCCTATATTAAAAAAAACATTTTCTTTTTAGATTTTTTTTTTTAAATTGATAAATTTTTATAAATACTTTAAAATATCTAATTAGGTCATTGCACTTGAAAATAACGTTTTATTGTAGTTTTACAATTGATTTTCAATCAAATACACTTAAAAATTACGTTTTATTATAGTTTTATAATTGGTTTTCAATCATATACACTTAAAAAATATGTTTTATTGTAAACTAAAAAAGTACTCATGCAATGTAGCGAGATACATCTCGCCTTTAATATTTCATTTTATTCTTTATAGTCCGTCAATGTTATAGTATGGTCTTATGTGATTTTGAAAAAACGATGATGTTTTTTTTTTTTTTGAATAAGATATAAATTTGAAGATATCATAAAAATTTGACAAAAATATATCGATATTAGTATCAAATTAACTATTTAAAATTTCTATTTTTTGTGTAATTTTTTAATTCAATTTTTTTATAATTTAATTTAGTTTCAATAACGAAGTATTTTATATTTGGTTTAATAATATAATTTTCTTATAAAAATAATAATTAATTATTTTGTTAGAATTCGATAATTATCTTAATTATATTTTTGATTTTTTATATTTTAAAAAAGATATTTATTCTTTATTTGATTATGTTTACCTGCAGTTAGTTATACGAATTTAAATATGGAGCTTTAATAAGTTGTACTTATGCATAATTACTTGTAATCTTGAATTTTAAGTAATATGCATAAAAAAAATGGTTTTTAATAGTTTTTGTCAAATCTTCATAATATAATATAGATTTGTAATTTGATTTCCAATCAAATACACTTTGAAAGCTAAAAATACATATAAAAATACATTTTTTTGAAAAAAAATCGGGCTGGTCGGAGGGCGGGCCTTGTTTTTGGATGAAAACCATAACCGGTCCTTAACCGGCGGTCCCAAACCGGTCTCAATCGGTCCCAGGTAGGGCCTTGTTTTTGGATGAAAATCATAATCGGTTCTTAACCGACGGTCCCAATCGTTCTTGGGCCGGGTCGGTCCCGATCCCGAGGTGAGCCAGACCCATTTGGTCATAATCTCAACCAATATTTTTCTTTTAAAAAATCAATTGCATAATTACTGACTATTTCTTGATAATTTAAAAAACGGTTACCTGACGGATTACTAATACCATAAAAAAGCTATTGAATTTTTAACCATAAAAGATTAACAATATTAGTTCTTTTGTATTATGTGTAACGCTGTAAATGACTCGAGCCGAATCAAGTAGTAGGTTACTCGAACAAAATAATATCATGTTTGAGCTCGAATATTTTTTAAATTATCGAGCTCGAGCTTACTAATTTTTATACTTTTATTATATGATTTATAAATAAATATACGAGCATGTTTGACTCGACTCAATTTCAAAAATTTAATCGAGTTTTCAAACAAACCGAGTCAAATATCGAGGTTACGAAGCTCGACGTGATAACTTAAACGAGTTTTATTTTGTGTTCGAGATCTACTCGAACTCAATTAAGTATTAAAGTGAATCATAACTCGTCAAAGACTTGAACCATGTACACCCTAATTATGTGTGATTATTAATTACAAAACTGTAATAAATACCACATTTAAAAACCTTAGAAAATCCACAAATCTAACTACTTGTTTATACTTCAAATTTAATTCATGTTGTATTAAATTTATAAATATCTTATGGTTTTTAACTTCATTCTTATTTTGTGTAACGTATTTTTAAAACTTTTATTTTGGTACCTAATATGTAAAGTTTTAAACATTTAAGTATTCGGTTAACTGATGGAAACATTAACTGATTACCATGTTAACGTGTCGAGTGATGTGATATCCACCCTCAATATTATTTACTATTCAACCCAATTTCATCTCATCATGCATCACATCAACATGATAATCAATTAATACTTCAACTGATTATTCGAATACTTAAATGTTTAAAATTTTACATTACTTTTTCATGTATTTTAATTATGTAATTTAAAAAAAATATGGGAAATGGAAGTGGGTGGTGGGGTTTGACAACTGTGAGTCTGTGCCCAATCAATGCACCGTCATCAAGTCTCCCTGCGCGGTGCCACCACTAGTAGTAACTCTCAAGCAAACCCTTTTTCTTTTCTTTTTCTATTTTTATATATATACACTTTTAAAATTAATAAAAAATAAAAATAAACTATATAAGAATAAATTACATGAAAAAAATAATTTATTTTAACTTAATTTTTATTTTAAGTAACATATTTTTAAAACTATCATTTTAATACATAAGATGTAAAATTTTAAGGATATAAATATCCAAGTAACCGGTTGAATACTGATTTTAGATTTAAAAACATTCATGTTACTAACCACGTCAGAAAATAATACTGAGTTAGATATCATATCAGTATGATAATCGGTTAATGCTTTAACCTGTTACCTGGATATTTAAATGTTTTACAACTTAGATACCAAAATAAAAAATTTGAAAGTACGTTATCTAAAATAAAAATCAAGTTAAAATACGTTATTTTTTCATGCAATTTGTCTACTATATAAAAACACAACTTTTTTAAAGGGTATTTATGTAAATTAAAGTTAATATTAAAAACCCATTAAGGATGATTAAACTGATTTATTAATAATTAAAAGAAAGATATCTTTTTAAATTATTTTAAAATATCAACCAAGAGTAAAATAATATCATATTCTAGATAAGGATGAGATAGCCGAGGGTAACATTGTAATTTCACTTAAGGTTGTTCTCTATCATGACAAAAACATTCACGGGTTATTTGGAAATTTTGTAACTCACCAATCCTTTAAAGCATGTGGTTATTGTAGGTGATATATATATATATATATATATATATATATATATATATATATATATAGAGGAGCGTTCAAATAAAAATAATTCAATTTGTAAAAACTGTGAAAACCTCATTTAACCAATTATAATTTTTCATTTTGTTCATTTTTTTGTAATTATGAGAGGTTGATTAACCATTTTTATTGTG